AAATTATCATAGTTGCTTTGAAAAGGTCTTATTTTATATTTACAACTGAAAAAAGTGTACTATTTTGTTATGAAAATTTCTAAGATTATTTGACTCTGTTTATATATGGCCTATATCAGACGAAAGTTGTATGATAACATTCAGTAATTACGTATTTCCAGAAAATACATATGAGATAAAGACGGGTTTTTCGGTGTTGAAAATGCTTAAAATTTGACTGACGTAAACTTTTTAAGATGAAACTTTTAAAAACGAGTGAACGACATAGATCTACTTTTCCACAAACTTTTGGGAGTGTTCCATCCCGTCTTATTTATTAGTTACTGTTATTTTCTTGAGTGTCATCATAAAAACGTTCACTTAATCTTACTTTTCTACAAAAATTCTTTGTTTATGAATTAAATATTGAATTAAATTTACGAATGAATTCACATAGACAACAGACTACATTGTATTAATACAGAGGCACTTCGTATTCTTATGTGATAAGTGTTTCGAAGGAAAGTTTAATACATTTCCCCCATATAAAGAGATGAAGAATGAATGATGATCATGTCTGAAATTAAAAAAGAAATATGACAATACTTTTCCATTTCCACATGATTTTAAGTAACATTTTTTCTGACATTTTTTACTCGTTTAGCTCATCAATATTAAAAAGTATTCTTATTAGTAATTCAATAAGTCAATGTTTTGATTTTCAAACCGTATCTATTATCTCCCTTTAATAGAGTCTTGTCTGAAAATACTTGTCCATTTCCACATGGTTCCAACAACAAAAAGACTTTCGATATCTAGAGAGACACGCCCCTCACAACCCCACACAAACTATTGACGCTTCTTTTAAGATATCAATGTTTAAAAGCTTTTTTTTGTTCAGTGTTGTTGAAACAATCGTTTCCTTTACTGTTTCCTTCGTCTATTTCTGCAAGGCTTCAAGGCTAGGAGTTTGATTATTCTTTTAAGTTGCAAGTGTTATCGACATGTTTAATAGTATAAAGAAATCCACAGACAAAAACGTTCAATTTAAAAATGATCAAGTATTACACAATGTATTATTCCCATATCGATATAATTAGCACTATGAAACTCTTAATAAAAAGCTAAATATGCAAATTACAGTGAACATCAAAGCGTTCTCTCAAATTTAGTTCATACATTTTGAATTAACTAAAAATCAATATGGTTTGATGCAGTTCGTTACATAAATAAATACACTTTATTAAGTCTGGTTATAAAAAAAATTATTCTATTTACGAGATAAGTTTTGTCTACGCATGTTTAAATAGAAATTTTATGGCAAACATATACGAAATTCAATCGTGAACGATAACCCATATCCGAATTACCTCAAAGAAATCATATTGAACTTCTTAACAAGTTTTTCTTACAGCTTGACAAAAATATCAATTAATATTTTTGTCGCCACAGTATGCTCTCATCTCATATTCTTTTCCGTTGAAGTAGCTTTAGCATACATTTGAACAAAAATTGATATCGGATGCCTTTGGTAATTTGACTAACTACACCAATCTTTATTTGATAATACATCTCTTTAGCCTCGGCATGAGTTTTTAAGACTCTTGGAAATGTTGAAAAATTGTGTAAAAAAAGTTTTAATCACCATTTAATCATTGAAGCCAAAGTATGCTCTTTTATGTGTGAAATGTTAAGGATGTAATTATTTCAATTTGTGGCATTATTATTTTTATGATACTAGTAACATTTGAACTAACAAAAACCTAAGCCAGTTATCTAGGCTGAGCATGCGTGAAAACTTTTCCTAAAATTATTATTACTGATCGGTGGATAATTCACTCTAAATCTCAGTGTTTTGATTCCAAACACATGTGAAAACACCTATCTGTAACAGTTTTAAAACATGTTGCGGTGTTTTCACAAAACACTGATGTTTCACACTAAAACACGGGTGTTTTCCTAGAAAACGTGTTTAGGTGTTTTGTCTGAAAACACCTAACACGTGTTTTGGGACTGTAACAGATTTAAAACACGTTTACACGTTTTAATAGTTTCCATGTTTTATTTCAAAACACGATCAACCAAAAAATGTGAACAATGACACATAAAACAAATTATACACATTTTAATAACATTTTGAAATTTAGGTTAAATACTAATTGTTCTTCATTACTGCACATAAATGTTAAATAGATCAAGACCCCCTACCATTATCATAATAGTATTTTTGGTATACTAAAATTAATATTGCATGCCTGACAGAGTGACAGTAAAGTTGACAACTTTTGGAAAAACACTGTCAACTGAGGTAGCATTTCCTACAGGTGGCAATTTTACTGTCACCTTGTCAGCCATGTTACAATCCAATGCAATATACCCGAAATTCTGGTGTTACCAATCACAAAATTAAAAAGAGCATTTTCATATTGAACCTTCAAACAATTAAAAACAAGGCAGTCTGAAGGACAGCTATATCCCCTTCGCAGTGGACAGGAATCTGTACTTCTTGATCTTTAACAAACCATGTCTTTTAGAGAAAAACCTGGCTGTTGTGCCATGGTCGTGATTATTTATGCTAAAATATTTAAAATCTTCCATGTCAAAAAGTTATAAACAAGAATATTTGACCTCTACCTGTGACCTTTGGGCAGTGACCTGATTGTTGCGCTCTGCACATCCTCTTATAATGGTGATTATTTGTGCCAAGTTATTTTAAAAAAACTTTTCAGCAGTTTAAGTTATTTAGCGGACACAAAATGTGGACCATTAACATTTGACCTTTAAGTGTGACCTTAACCTTAGAGGTAGTGACCTTGTTGTTGTGCTTTGCTCATCATGATATAAAGGTGATCATTTGTGCCAAGTTATGTTAAAAACATTTCATCAGTTGAAGTTATGGAGCGGACACAAAAGGTAGACTTTTTAACCTATGACCTTAAGTTGTGACCTTAGGGGTAGCGACCCGATTATTGCGCTCTGCACATCGTCTCATACTGACCATTTGTGCCAAGTTATTTCAAAAAATTTTCAGTTTAAAAAAGTTATGGAGTGGACATGGAAGACAGACTGAGGCCATTCCTGTAACCCCTCCCCTCTATGCAGAAGGGGATTAAAAATGAATGTATAAAATAAATACATAAAACAGATTACAGTTATATAATATTTAGGCAAACAATTAAGTAAATAAATAGATAGACAATTAAACAACAAAAACAAATCGATATATGGATATCAGTAGAATTTCAGGTAAAATAAAAATATATATAAAATGGATTTAACTTCTCTCTACAAAAATAAAACCTTTTTAGTTTTTACACAGTAAAGCCTAACTCCCTGTAAAATGTAAAAAACCGGGTTTTGGCACATATATGTATCATATTTGGGTTGGAAAAAAAACAAACAGTATTTTCAGACAGTGTCAAAAATCGGTCATTCAATGTTGACTGTCCCCAATAATGTGTCAGTACTGTCAGACAAATTATAATACACTTCAAGGTTACCAGGAGGGGGAGTCAAAAGTTTGCACTAGTGCTCTATTTTAAATCAGTTACAGTATATATCCTGATGGTTCATAAATATCTTTTGTTGTGGTGTGCTTAAGGCTTAGACAAAAAAGGGTACACTTTAGCATTCTAGAAATTTACAATGAAACTGTATACAATATTTTGATAAATCATTTCTTTGACTCCGAAAACACCAAAAATTTAAATGCACAACAAAGGTGCCTGATCAGTGAAAACTAGTGATCTCTGTAAATAATTCTGCTTACCACTTGAAATCAGTAAATAAAAATTTAATAAATCTGATATGATAATGAAGTGAGCATGTGTTAAAGTTAGACAGTAATACATCAACAAAATACAAACTTATCTAAGACATCAATGCAATATATTAAACTTACTACATAGCATGTACAAAATAAGAGCATATTAACATTTGCAAACAACAAATAGCACTAATACTTCTTAACTGTAATAAACAATTTATAATATATGGCATTTTAATGCTTCATTGACATAAAAATGTCACAGTCTGCAATAACATACTGATGTCATAAATAATAAAATTAGTGTTTAAACACTGCATTATTAAGTCAATCTTTTCTGCTAGTGAATAATAATTTGATAAATCACTGGATTTAAAAGTTCCTAAAAAGAAGCATAGTCTTAGCTGTTTTGAAAAATATTGACACTTGACATTTGCTATTTCAAATAGAGCCAAAATATACAGCTTGATGTTCAGACATCAAGATGATTTAAATGTCTGATTAAGGAATGGGAGGGATTGCACCATCTATGCAGCAAAAATAAAGGCACTGATCAGCTGATGGTTACCACACAGCTATTCTGCACCTTTGTTTTTGCAAGTGCAAAAAAGCAGGTTTTTTCATGGTAAAAGGTAAGCTGTTAAGAAGTCAATAATATGTCCATGACACAGAAGGTTGAATTTAATTTAAAATGTTGGTTGTATTTGTTCATTAGTTTTTCCAATTTTTCCACAAAGTGTAAATTCCCAGCCGACTTGTGACTAAGAAGGCTTGTTTAAATACTGTTTGTTGCATGAATCCAAGGAGTTGTGAAAAGCAGTGGGATTTTCTAGATCCATTATTATTTATATAATACCAGCTTATTAATAAGAATAGCCCTTCCATGAGGCTATCTGTCTCAAGTGGTATCTTGCACTGGTCTCCAACAATATACTGTTTGTCCAGTTCTATGTTGTTAAAAATAAAAACAAGGCTTCACTTGGAGGAGTATTAGGCTGTGATGACAGGACCTTTGACAGATTAGCTTCTTCAATATCCTGCAACATGAACATGGAATAAAACAATGAATGAGTACCATCCTTCATAACAGGATCAGGGAAATCTTCTACCTTAAGCATTTCCAACCAGCACATAATAAAGTGTTAGTTAATGTCTGGTTCTGGAGCAGTAGGTCAGAAATTCGATCTTCTGCCATGCCATGCTGAGCAGGGCCAACATTCGTCTATTTTATATAGTGACAAGACAGGCAAAAAATTGAAAAATTTGTATTTCAAGTTATAATTTTATGAATAAATACTTACCTGACATTACATTTAGGATTTCATTTCGTCCTACCTTTTGAACTCGCTTAACCGGAAGTGTGCATTTGTTTACATCCATAATGCATTGAAACAAATAACTTCCTGAAGTTTTAACCAACCAGAACACACTTCCGGTATTCCCACGTGAAATCAGTTTTCCATTTTTGCGCCTAACGGCCCTATGGAAACTTGAAATCTGTGGGGTGGATGGGAGGGATCATGTAATGTCAGGTAAGTATTTATTCATAAAATTATAACTTGAAATACAAATTTTTCAATTTTATTTCATGAAATACTTACCTGACATTACATTTAGGATTAATATCTGATTATAAAGCAGTTAAAGAATTACTGGTGGAGGGAGATTCAAGTTGAAATCCATCCATAACATTTTAAACATCAAATAACAATAAAGAAATTTTAAAAGAACTTACCTCTGACGAATCCAAACTTGGAACAATTCATTAGGTATGTCAAAAACTGCATGAATAAGTTTCAATCCAATATGAACATAACCACTGTATTAAAAAATCCCACTGTATTTACACTGTTTACTGTACAAATACTAACAGTTCCTTATCTGTAGGTATGTGTATAATACCAAAATATAATATACCCTCCAAATCCGATCAAAAATATACTTAAATATCCTTGCAAACTCGCAAAAAACGAAAATATATATATGTATATATTAAACAAGACAATTCTTATTGTCTTAAACATCAATGAAATTAATATTCAAATCCGCCAAGTAATGTTTGGTAAATGTAGTCTCCCTAGACCAGTCAGCAGATTCCATAATCTCCTTCATAGATACCCCTTTGAAAAGAGCCCATGAAGGACCCAAACTTCTGGTAGAGTGACCTTTAATAGATTTAACACTTTTCTCACTACTCAAATATGCATGTTTTATCGTTTTAACAATCCATGTAGATATTGTCTGAGATGAAACTGGTTGATGTGGCTTTTTAGAAGATAAAAATAACTGAGTAATATCCTGTCCAGACTTATTTCTAAACTTTTCTGTTCTTTTTAAATAAAAAGCTAAACATCTTTTGGGATCTAGTTTCTTGTTGTCCGGAAAACTTGGTATGAAAATAGGAGTAGGCTTGTGATTTGGCCGATCTTGCTTTGACAAACCTGGCCTAATAAAAGTTATACCTTTTTTCTGCACATTAACAAAACTTTCCCCCAACCTAAGAGCTTGAAGATCACTACAACGTCTAAATGATGTAACTGCTATCAGGAAACACGTTTTCCATGTTAAAAACTTCAAAGACGCTTTACAAAGGGGTTCATATGGTGCCTTCTTCAGCGAACCTAAAACAAAAAGAAGATCCCATTCAGGTACAAGTTTTTTAACTGGTGGCCTTTCATTAAATACACCCCTAAGTAAACGAATAACATGAGGATGTTGCCCAATTGGAACTTTGTCTACATAAGGAAGGACAGCTGAAAACATTGATCTATACCCTGAAATAGTTCTATATGCAGTACCTTGATGAAATTTGTATGCAAGAAAATTTACACAGTCCTTTAAAGATGCTGCATATGGATTAATTTGTTGTTCACGGCACCAATTACAGAACAATTTGAATTTACACCTATAGTCTTTTTGTGTTCCCCTTCTCCAGGAAGATGCAAGCAATTTCCTAGACTTTTCTGAAAATCCCTCTGTTTCGAAATATCGGTCGATATGAGCCATGCAGTCAGATTTAGTGTTCGAAGATCTGGATGAAGAATCTTGCCCATCCCTTGGGACACTAAATCCGGCTGCAGTGGTAGACAAAGAGGGTTTGCTACAAGTAATTGTAATAGTACTGGATACCAAGGTTGTCTCGGCCAATTTGGTGCTATTAGAATCAGAGTGCAATTGAATTGTTGTAGGTGTGACAGAACACGATGCAAAATCTGCACAGGCGGGAACGCATAAGCAAACATGTTCTGCCATGCAATTGACAGGGCATCCAAGGCATAAGCTTGAGGGTGAGGAATCCATGAGCAAAACAGTTGTGTCTTTTTGTTTTTGTATGTTGCGAACAAATCCATCAGAGGATGTCCCCAAAGATTGAATATTGACATCACAACTGTTTTGTTCAGAGACCACTCTGTATCCCTCACTGATTCCCTGCTCAAAAGATCTGCTAATATGTTTGATTTTCCTGAAATGTGGGCTGCCCTCAGTAATATTTTGTTGCTCAAAGCTAACATCCACAACTTCCAAGTCATTTGACAAAGTGTTATTGATTTTGTCCCCCCTTGGCGATTGATATATTGAACACATGTGCTCGAATCTGTTCGAATCAGAACTGACTTGTTCTTTAGAAGGGGCAGAAAATGACGGACTGAACGAATTATTGCCTCCATCTCCAGGCAATTGATGTGTTGTAGACGTTCTATCTGAGACCAACGGCCTTGCACAGTACGGTTGTTCATGTGACCACCCCAGCCCCATGAACTGCTTGCATCTGTGGTCAGTATAACATTTGAATGGCTGTATTGAAAACAACAACCCTTCAGAATGTTCACTTCCTGTAACCACCAATGCAAATGAGGAGTCAAAGAAGGTGTACATTGGATCTTGCATGAAAGGGACATTCTCGAAGGACTCCAGTTTTGTAACAGATGAAGCTGGATAGGCCTCATGAACAACCGTGCATTGGGAATCAGATCTATGCAAGATGCTATCATGCCTAACAAAACAAGATAATGTCTGGCTGTGCAATGACCCTGTAAAATTTGTCTTGCTGCCTTCTGTAAATTGACTATCCTTTCTTTTGTTGGATAAACTATCCCTTTTTTCAACATGAAAAGACCCCCTATGTATGTTACTGTTTGAAGAGGTAACAAATACGATTTTTTCTTGTTCACCATGAAACCTAGTTCGAAAAGGAGATTTAAGAGGACTGTTCGATTTTTTAAAAGTTGTGTTCTTAGACTGTTTAGAACAAGCCAATCGTCTAAGTAAGTTGCAAGACGAATACTTTGTTTGCGTAGATGAGATGCTACTACAGCAATTACTTTGCAAAAAACTCGAGGAGCCACAGTCGGACCGAAACACAGTGCTCTGAATTGATACACAACTGACTGGAAACAAAAACGAAGAAACTGACGGTGGCCCTTGAAAATCTCTATGTGAAAATATGCATCTTTTAGGTCGAGATTTATGCACCAATCTCCTTTTCGAACTAAATTTAACACTTTCCTCATGTTGTTCATTTTGAAATGTTTTTTCTGCAAATACCTGTTCAGGGGTTTTAAGTTTATGACAGGACGTAACTCTCCGTTCTTTTTCGGGACGAGGAATAACGTACTGTAAAAACCGTGATGTGTTTGAGTTTTTGGAACTATTTCGATGACATTTTTGTCTAAAAGATTTTGAATTTCTGTATGAATTAAAGAATGTTCTTTTTGATTGACCTTGGTTTCTAATATACCTGAAAAAGGTGGTTTTTGAATAAACTCTAGCTTGTAACCGTTTCTTATTAAATCTAAAACCCACTGATCTCGAGTTATATTTTCCCAAGCAGGCAGGAAGTGTTTTAGTCTGCCCCCAACAGGTATCTGCGGCCACTTTGCTATAATGCTTACCTTGTCATTTGCGATCTGTTTTACCACGTCCTCGGCCAAAGTTCCTTGGTGGAAAGGACTCAGTTGCACTAGGTCTACTGAAGTTGCCTTTTCTGTCACTTCCCTGCTTATTGTAACCTGAGGTTGAAGGTCTTGGAACCTTGGGGATCCGAAAATTATCAGAGGAAACAGATCTATTTTGCGAAAAACAAGGCCGCTTTGATGTGTCTTGAACAGTCGTAGAAGAGACAGGCTTCCTCTTAAGAAACTCCCTCTTCTTAACATCAGGTACCAAATCATCCACCTGTTTTTTCTGTTCTTTCCTTGATTTTAATAAATTTTCAAGTTCTGTACCAAACAAACCGTCATTTGTCAAAGGTAAACTGAGGAATTTTTGTGAATCTGGTAATTCATACAAAGCTGTATCAGACATAGCAACATGACGTCTTATAATATGATGAAAAGCACCTGCTCTTCCTAGCTGGTCTAAACCCTTAGTGGCCATAGAGAACACATCCTTAATCTGCTTTTCTGCAGTATCCTTATCAAAACTGTCAGACTGAACAAAACTAAGTAAATCACCAAGGCTTTGTTGTAAATACAGCTGAATAACAATACCTAATCTAGCGGCATGAGAACCTTTATATGCAAGTCTTTCAATAGTCTTATAAGGTTGCGAGTATAAACCTTTACCTCTTATCTTAGAGCTAGAAAATGCTGCTTTGGGACCATGTCGTTTAATCAAACAACTTTCTATCAAAGGATCCACTGGCGGCACTTGTAAAAATTGTTCAGTGTCACTTTTAACAGGAAACATATCAAGAACATTTTCATTGTATGAAGTCAAAAATAAAGGAGTACTACACCTGTAACTGTTATACAAGACATCTTTTTGAGACTGGTCTAAGGTAATACCAACATCTTCCTTCTCTGATAAAACTTTGGCATCCTCACCAAAAATTTCATACAGTCCCAATTTAGTATGCTCACTGAGATTTTCTGAATCCGAAACTTTTCTAACAGAATTCTGAACACGTGTTCTGTGAAAATCTCTGTCACTATCCGAATCTGTGTCGGAACCTAAAGTACTATCCCCGCATAAAGATAAAACATCTTGTTGCGAATTTACGTTACGAGTCTCATCTTCTTGCACATCGGTACATGGCGAAGTATCCCGAATATTCGAAGATTGAAACAGACTGAATAATTTATCAAACTTGTCATCAATAGATTCAAATTTCTGATTAAATTTTTCCTCTAAAATGTCATATTTGGATCTACGTTTCTGTTTTTCTTTACCGTGATCCGACTGTTTCTTATGCGGCAATTTAGCCCGAAACATTGATGACTCGCCATTATCGGTCACATGGCCTGGCGAAAAATTATCAGAAATCTCTCCTTCTTCGCGCTCCAAGACGCAATTCACTGCTTCTTGAGCCATAATCCAACACACAACAATAACCACCGTAAAATAAAAAATAAAACTAGTAAACGAGCTCAAAAAGTACATCTAAACGGTAGGCGCAAAAAACGAAAAACTGATTTCACGTGGGAATACCGGAAGTGTGTTCTGGTTGGTTAAAACTTCAGGAAGTTATTTGTTTCAATGCATTATGGATGTAAACAAATGCACACTTCCGGTTAAGCGAGTTCAAAAGGTAGGACGAAATGAAATCCTAAATGTAATGTCAGGTAAGTATTTCATGAAATAAAATGAGATACCATGTTTGACAAAGAGGCATATCTATAGAGATACTTATCATATACTTAAATAAGTTTACAAGTCAATCCATTTAATATGCTATTTTGACAAAATTGTAAGTTGAAAAGGGGCATAACTCCAAAATATAGTTTTAAGAATAACTCCCCATGTCTGAACAGTGTGTCTTGTGATGTAAAGCAAATATAAAATGAATTTATCAAAGTCTTGTGCTGATACCTTTGATAGTTTTGACATTAATTCATTTAATAAATTTCAGAATTTTGTCCCTTGTCAGTTACAAATGTGTCTTGTCATGATTAGCGGCTGCAAGTATTCAAGTTAAAATTAAATTCAGTGGTATTATACAAAACTGACAAAAAAAAATTCCGGTAAATTAACTATACCTTATGTAGAACTACAATTTATCTAGTCTTGCACCCCTTTCCATGTTTGAATCCTGTATTACTTTCTATGGCTCTTATAACGTCCAAATCATCTTTGCACTGCAACAGAAATCAGTAATTCTAAGTAAACAGAAACGCACACAATCAGATCCTAAACACAGCTTTCAATATGACAAAATGAACACATGATTAGCAGTCAACACACTGCGTTAACAATTTTAACCATATTTGCATTAAAGTGACAAAAGCACTGTAAAAACAAACATCAGCCACAAAACAAGATTATGCCATGTTGGATTTCCTGCAATATATCTCAGGATAAAGTCGCAAATTTTTGAAGTCCAGTCAGACAATGTATTTCAAAGCACATTAAAATTAAAAATTACATATTTTGTATTAAAAATCAGATATTTTATATCTAAAAAAAACAACAACAACAAATAATCATTGTCAGAACTATTTGATTAATGTACAGGTGCAGAAGCATAATCAACTTCTGACTGGGTCTCCTAGGTTCAACACAACCTTGTTATAACATGGTAGTTTGAATCCTTTATATAGACCATGTTAGTTAACCACATTATATCCAAACAAAAAAGTATTTATTATATATTTAAAAAAAATATGGAATTTTTCTTTCTATTCTATACCTTTTGTGAATACAATTTTTACCCTCTTTTAAACATTATTATATCTTAAGCCGCATTATAACAAGGCTGTGCTGTATGCATAGTAAGATTGCAATGATATCTTTTTCCTTTTTCCACAAGGTTGCCTGCCCTAACAGTAATCTTAACTCATACCTCTTTTCCTCCAGGTTTAAGTGTAGCTACTGCTTCAAACAATATCTCTAGATTGTCAACAAATGGTTGGATGTGGCCTACTGCAAGAATTAATTTAATTTCCAACAACATCTGAAAAAAAAAAGAAAAACAATTATTATAATTAGCTTATAGATAATCATATGATAATTAAAAAAGGAAATGTAGCAAAACAGCATAGATCACCTGCCTTTAAATTTCACTTTCCAAATATTTTTATAACCATTAATGTTTAATATGCAATTTATGACACAATTAACAGCCATTTGTGTATGCTCATATATGATGTAATTTATAAATTATTTCTTTTTTTTTTCTTAGTTAATTTTTTTAGTGTATTTTCCTCCACATTCAGGAAAAAGTTCTGTTCAGCAACAAATATGTAACATGGTTGTTGGGGTCAATACCAACCTCATGTTAGTTTAAACGTCGCATTTATGATTATACATCCAAACAATACTGTAAATAATTCTGGAAACAAAGTGATCCCTCGGAAGCATTAATCACAACAAAATAACATAAGAATTGCAGACTCGGTTTGATTGAGTCTGTACATGAGGGATAATGAATAAGTGCAACATCCCTCACGCCCCCTAGCACCGGCTTGAGCGGTACTCAATTCTCAACACTTTATAGTGTTGGCATCAATGATCCCGAAGGACCAGAAAATATAACAACACTGAAGTGAAGTACGGGGCAACTTTTTACGGCTGCCACACAGCACTTGACACCTGCTGTTGTGAAGTACATAATTCTGGAATTATTACAATAATAACCATTCATGGTTATTTTTATACATACTCATAGTCTACACATTTTAGGAATTAATCTTTGAACTTTATTATATCCAAATGACTTGCTAGAAAGAACCTCATTATAAAGACTTATAATGTGACATGTAAATATGCATATTGATAAAATGATTTTGTAATTTTAGTACAACATATTAATCTTTGAAATTATTTAAGCCATGGCATGATAAACCTGCAGTAAGGATGTACATCCATTAAAGACTCAGACCTGACTAGATGCCTGCATGGTTGGGTCCTGGCTATCCACTCAATGAAGTATAGGACCTTTGGGTAACCATTGAACGCACAGTAAACATCTGATTGGATAAAGGGGTGGATGGGATGATCCAGGTTTTTGCTGATTTATTTATCAGATTTTAATAGTCAACTGATAAGAAAGAAAATTCAAATCTACAATTTTTTCATGCAACTTACAAGATGGTGTTACAATTTCTGTCGCTGTGGTAACAGTTGTGGACTCTGTCTCAGTCTTTGACATGTTGGCATCTTGGGTGTCTGCCCAAACATTACAACAGTGTCTTTTGGAATATCAGGTTCTCATATTTGTTGGTCTTCTAGAAGCATCAATACTTAGTTTTGAATATGTCAAGGATGGCGTTTTCTTCCCTAGAAGCATCAATACTTAGTTTTGAATATGTCAAGGATGGCGTTTTCTTCCATTTCTGTCACATCTTTTTCCAGCACAACAATCAAACTTCCTCCTTGCAACTGTTGCTTGTCACCAGCTAAAATATTGAATAAAACTTGAGTTAGTGTTTCTGAGAAATAGTCATCAATACCAACTAGATCGAAGTATCAAACTGTTTGAATTATTTATCAAACTACAGATCTTTTCTGTTAAACATTACACAGTCATTCTAACATAACAATTATGTATTGTAGCTATCAAATATTATATAGATGAGATCCGTAGTTATATTCATGAATATGATTTCTGCCATCACAAATGGATCTCAACAGCATATATAGAACTCAAATTAAATTTTGACAACTGTTCCTTTCTTTTAAGAAAATTCTAAATAATATCATCAAGTAGGGTTTGTTTTACTGTTAACATGATTATTATATTTTGTGAAAAGTTTGTGTTTTGAGTCTACTTGTTTGAATTTTCTTTATACTGTGAAATCAGATATTTTTGCAAGGCTAAAATTTTGTGAATAATATGATTAACATTTAGGGTTCACCATGTTAAATGTTTGTGAAAATCAAAGTGGAGGACAATAGTTATTGCAATTAGGTAATACTTACATGATGATAATTTATTGAATTTGCAAATGTAGTAAAAATTAAACACAGAAAGGTAGAATCACATTTCTTTTTTTAAAAAATCAATTCAAATGTAAATAAAGCTATGATACTGTGAAATGTCTATTTTTTTCTATTCACATATCGGTTTTACTTGGCATCTGGATCACCAGACTTTCACAAAGTGTTTTACGCCATCAACTGTGGCTGTACAGTAGTCACACCTGTACAGATTTTCTTATGACAAGGCTTTATATTCTAAATAATTCTGAGATTCCTCTTTTGAGCACACAACCTAACACTGTGTTGTAATTGTGCTGTAGTGTGTAAAAATACTTACCTTTCTTCAGAAGGTCTTCAAGACTGCTTGCAAGTACAGATATTCTCTTCTGCCTTGTAGTGTAGTACCTCCAAAATTTTGTACTCATTAGCCATACTAGTTGTTAAATATGTAATTATGAGAAGAAACTTGTAGCGTAACATGTAGATCTGACAGTACCCAAAATTACATTTTATTGAAGTACCTGTATTAATTTATCCATAATGACTGTTCTTCCATTACAGATATGCAAGACAGGGGCAAAACAAACTTGAGATCTTGATATTTTTTAGCAACTGTCTTTGTATCTGAACATTTTACAAAGTAAGAGTCAATATGTTCATCACATTCTATAACCACAACTTGCACAAGAGAGTAAAAACAAAAAAATTCTGGTAGAAATCTAGTCAATGACTAAAATCAACAACCCAGTGTTTTTCCTTATATAACTGATACCGGAAAACGGCACCGTTCCCAATAGAAAATAGACAGCAAATTTTCCAATTCATGACTGATAAATTCCAAATTTAACACTGAAAATTTCCTCTAAAAACAGTAATGCATGCCTCGGAGCCTTCCGTATTGATAAGTGATATACGATAAAAACCAAGTAAAACCACATGAGTGATATTCGTACCCAGTTCATTTCGTACTTTATGTTTCACACCTACTAAACATTTTTTATGTACAATTGTTATGATTATCAATTTTTTTTTTCAACCTCAAGCAGCAAAAATAATCTTTAAAGTTAATAATAGATGATTTTAAAGTGTATAGTTCTGCAAAATTTTCATCACCTCCCTGGATAAAAGAAATTCCCAATAAATATTTTGCATCTAAAATAAAATTCCCAATTAAAGTCAAACCGATGGATTTTTTCCCAATCTGTCCGGTACCGTTAACTGTACCAGCACCATTCCCAAAGTAGGGGAAAAACACTTTGACTTTCTGATATTAATTGAATAATTTATATTTAAATATTATATATAATATAAGCGTTTCTTTACTTGACAACATGTTCTCAATTATCCAATCAAAACACGTTGAATGTAACATGATATGGTTTCTGTTTTCTAGCTATGTTGTTTAAAAGTTTTATTCAGTATGTTTTTGTTTGCTGTCCTAAATAAAGTTTAAGTGTAGTTAAAAATTATTTTTAAAGTATTCCCTATATAAAATTAATGTTAACTTAGCCTCAATAATCAAATCGAAATTAATGGAATTAAGAATCAAATCCAGAGAAAGCTGAATAGTTGCACCCTGACAAAGGAACATTTATTATAAATGTGTGATAATAATATAGAACTATATATGTTTATTTGTCTTTTCATTCTAAAGTTTATAAAATATTGAAAATAAAGAAATTTAGGGGGGTGGGGGTTTATAGGAAATTTCAATCAAAAGGTTTAT